TATATGGGTTATAATGATTATAATGATGATAACAATAATATCAATAATGATAATAATAGTAAAAAACAAATATAAGAACAACAGCAATTTTAATAATAATAGCACAATAGTAATAACAACAACAAAAACAATGATAAACCGAAAAACAACAACAATAACAATAATCAAAATAATAAGAAAATTAGCAAAAATAGTAATAACAACAAAAATAATAAATAATGATAAACCGAAGTAACAGCAATGATAATAACAACAATAACAACAATGACAACAACGAAAATAACAACACCAAACAGAAACAACAAGTGATAACAATAACAACAGTGATAACAACAATGGTAACAACAACGAAAATAACAACGCTAAACCGAAACAACAACAGTGATAACAACAATAACAACAAAACCGAAACAACAACACCAAACCGAAACAACAACAATAACAACAGAGATAACAACAATAACAACAAAACCGAAACAACAATAACAACAGCGAAACAACAACAACAAATACAACGCTAAACCGAAACAACAACAATGACAACAACAAAATAACAACACCAAACAATAACAACAGACAACAACAACAAAACAAACAACAAAACAACAAATAACAACAAACAAAACCGAAACAACAATAACAACAACGAAACAACAACAACAATAACAACGCTAAACCGAAACAACAATAACAACAGTGATAACAACAATAACAATAACAGCGAAACAACAACAACAACAACAACGAAAAAAACAAACGCCAAACCGAAACAGCAATGCCAACGACAACAAGGAGAGCTTCGCACCGGAACTGCACCCCCCCCCCCCCCCCACCCCCCCCTCACCTCTCACCATAGCCACTTCCTCAAGCAACGGCCCTGGGAAGCAGCAGCTGAGTGGGTCGGCCATTGGGATATATATTTTTTTCTCTTTCTGGGTCTGTGTCTGTCTGTTTGTCTTTCTCTGTGTCTGTCTGTTTGTATCTGTCTCTGTCGGTTTGTTTGTTTGTCTGTATCTGTCTCTGTCTGTGTCTTTCTCTGTGTCTGTCTGTTTGTCTTTCTCTCTGTCTGTTTGTCTTTCTCTGTGTCTGTCTGTTTTGTCTTTCTCTGTGTCTGTCGTTATCTGTTGTATCTGTCTCTGTCGTTGTCTGTCTGTTTGTATTTGTCTCTGTCGTTGTCTGTCTGTGTCTTTCTCTGACTGTCTGTTTGTATCTGTCTCTGTCGTTGTCTGTCTGTGTCTTTCTCTGTGTCTGTCTGTTTGTCTCTGTCGTTGTCTGTGTCTTTCTCTGTGTCTGTCTGTTTGTATCTGTTGTTGTCTATGTGTCTTTCTCTGTCTGTCTGTTTGTCTTTCTCTGTGTCTGTCTGTCTGTCTTTCTCTGTGTCTGTCTGTATGTCTTTCTCTGTCTGTCTGTTTGTCTTTCTCTGTGTCTGTCTCTTTCTCTTTCTCTGTTTGTATGTCTCTCTCCCTCTCTGTCTCTTTATCTGTCTGTGTCTGTCCTAGCGAGTGAAGCAGTATTCGAAGCATCTTATTTCCGAGTCATGGTTCCTGTGTGATTTTTATAGGTGTTGGAAACGCTCTAATAATCTTATCATCATCATCATTATTGTTATTGTTATGGTCACTATTCTTGTTATTATTATGGTCATTATTCTTGTTATTATTATGGTCATTATTCTTGTTATTATTATGGTCATTATTCTCGTTATTATCATCATTAATTACTATTATCATTACCTTATTATTTATTTTTATCATTATTATTAGTATCATTATCATTATTATTATCATCATTATCATTATATTATCGTTATTATTATTATTGATATCATTGTTAGCATTACCATTATCCTTATCATTATTATCATTACTTTTAAATTCTGTTATTCTTATACTTAAATCCAGAGCATTAAAAACATTTTGGAAACCATTACACGTTCCTTGTGTTTCTCAAATATTTTCTTAATTTAAGCTTTCCTCTCTAACTAAAACATCAATATCTTTAATGCACAATAAATATGAGATAGAGTGCAATAAACGTAAATATAAAGATACTTGCATTCAAGACGAAGGTTTAAATTGAAAAAAAAAAAAACTTTTAAATAAACTATTGCACGTTCCTTGTGTTTCTCAAATATTTTCTTAATTTAAGCTTTCCTCTCTAACTAAAACATCAATATCTTTACTTTGATGCACAATAAATATGAGATAGAGTGCAATAAACGTAAATATAAAGATACTTGCATTAATGACGAAGGTTTAAATTGAAAAACAAAACAAAACTTTTAAATAAACTATTACACGTTCCTTGTGTTTCTCAAATATTTTCTTAATTTAAGCTTTCCTCTCTAACTAAAACATCAATATCTTTACTTTGATGCACAATGAATATGAGATAGAGTGCAATAAACGTAAATATAAAGATACTTGCATTAAAGACGAAGGTTTAGATTAAAAAAAAAAAAAAAAAAAAATTTTAAATAAACTATTGCACGTTCCTTGTGTTTCTCAAATATTTTCTTAATTTAAGCTTTCCTCTCTAACTAAAACATCAATATCTTTACTTTGATGCACAATAAATATGAGATAGAGTGCAATAAACGTAAATATAAAGATACTTGCATTAAAGACGAAGGTTTAAATTGAAAAAAAAAAACTTTTAAATACACTAACCGTCTAAAAATTCCACTAAGACACCCCCCCATTTTACAACTCACAAATCTTCATTTTAAGAGAAAGGAAAATTAATAATAATAATAATAATAATAATAATAATAATAATAATAATAATAATAAAACCGCACAAACCTTCATTATAAAAGAAAGTTAATCTAAAAACTCATATTACTTGGGAAAATTAATTTTAAAAAATCACATTACTTAAGAAAATTAATTAAAAAGACTCACATGACAAGAAAATCAATTAAAAAGACACACATTACTTACGAAAATTAATTAAAAAGCCTCACATGACAAGAAAATTAATTAAAAAGACACAAATTACTTACGAAATTTAATAAAAAAAACTCACATTACATAAGAAAATTAATAAAAAATCACTCAAAAAATTAAAAAAAAAACCTCACATGACAAGAAAATTAATATTAAAAACTCACATCACTCAAAAAAAATAAATTAAAAAAAAACTCAATTAAGAAAAACTAATAAAAAAGACACACATCACTCAACAAAAATTAATAAAAAAAAAACTCACATTACCACACAAAAAAAAAGCCACACATTACTCAACAAAAATTAATTCAAAAACTCACATTACTGGCGATATCCATTGGCGTAAGTTCTGGCAAGGATTTTGGAATTTCGGGAATGGCGGAACTGACGGTCAGCTGGGAATCCTCCGGTGCCATTCCCATCATAAATTTACCTTGGAGAATTCCTAGAAAAGAGGGAGTGGTTTTGTTATTGATGTTATAATTATGTTGATGTTATTATCGTTCTTGTTATTATTGTTGTTATTGTTTCACTGTTATTATTGTTATTGTTGTCGTTGTTATTGTTTTTGTTCTTGTTATTATTGTTATTATTGTTTTTATTATTGTTATCATTGTTCTTATTGATACTGTTATTATTGTTTTGGTTATTATTGTTATCATTGTTCTTGGTATTGTACTTGCTATCATTGTTTTTGTAATCGTTGTTCTTATTACTGTTGTTTATGTTCTTGTTATTATTATCATTGCCATTGTTATTACTGTTTTTGTTATTATTGTTCTTGTTATCATTGTTCTTGTTATTATTGTTATTATAATTATCATCATCATCACTATCATTGTTACCATTAACAATACTACTACTACCATTTTAACTATTATTATCCGTGTTATTCTTATAATAACAAAAACAATTATTAATCATCAGTATCATTACAATAATAATAACAATAACAAAAAATGATAAAAAAACAAAACATGGAAACTCCAAGGACACTAATAAACAAACAAACAAAGTGAAATAAAGAGAATAAATATAAGAAATGATGATAAATATGACAAAAAAGGAAAACCGAGATAAGAGAGAGAGAAGAAAAGGGAAGGTAATAAATCTTGATAATAATGGAGCTAATGGAGAATAATGGAGATAAGACAAAAAATAGAATAATAAATGGTGGAAATGCTAGAATGAAAAAGAAATAAAATCATGATTATTAATACGAATGAATACAATAAATAATAACACGAATAAAGGATATAGATAGTGATAATAATGGATAATACATATTAGTAATGATTCTAATGCATAATAACAATGCAATGACAAAACAATCTAAAAAGAAAAACATAAAAAGTACGAATTCCCAAATAAATGAAATAAAATAAAACAAAATAAACACAAAACACGAATTCTCAAAAAAATAAAATAAATAAATAAATGAATAAAAAATAAAATGAAATAAAAACACAAAAAACGAATTCCCAAAATAAGGAAAAGAAATAAAAAATAAAATAAAACAAAAAACAAACGAATTCTCCAATAAAAAAACACGAATCCCCAAACAAACAAAACAAAACAAACACACACCAAACCAACAAACCTATTACAAAAACAACATTACTATTACCAAAAAAACAAAAAAACAAAAAAACACACACACCAAAACAACAAACCTATTACAAAAAAAAACAACATTACTATTACAAAAAACAAAAAACAAAAACAAACACACACCAAAACAAAAACCTATTACAAAAAAAACAACATTACTATTACCAAAAAAAAAAAAAACAAAAACAAACACACACCAACCAACAAACCTATTACAAAAAACAACATTACTATTACCAAACAAACAAAACAAAAAACAAAAACACACACCAAACCAACAAACCTATTACAAAAAAACAACAACATTACTATTACCAAAAAACAAAAAAAACAAAAAAACAAAAACAAACACACCAAAACAACAAACCTATTACAAAAAAACAACATTACTATTACCAAAAAACAAAAAAACAAAAAACAAACACACACCACACAACAAAC